TATATATATATATATATATATATATATATATATATATATATATATATATATATATATATATATATATATATATATATATATATATATATATATATATATATATGCAAAGCTAACTTCCCTTGTGGTTGTTTGAGCACTCTGCCCCATTACACTCTGCGCATGTATCACTATGGATGCGTTGATGTATAGTCGTATTGTTCCACATGCCTTGGTGGGAGCAAGTTCATGGGATATAAATACGAATGCATCGCGTATATATATACATATACACATACACATACACACATACACATACACACACACACACACACACAAACACATATACATGCATACAGTGGTGTCAAGTAACGAAGTAAATGTACTTCGTTACTGTACTTGAGTATTATTTTTGAGAAGTGAGCATGTAACAAAGTAAACTTTTTCTGGAGTACTTTTACTTGGAACGAAGTCCTTTTAAGAAGTAACGTTTTACTTCGTTATTTTCATTTTGTGGCGAAGTATTTCGTTACTTTTTGTATCTGCGAATGCAGATATATTGCCATCGTGCGCGTACCGGAAGTTTGTAAGCGTACTTTTAGCCAATCAGAGACAGTGTATAGATGAGAATGACGTAATTATACAAATTTCAAGATGGCGGTTTACTGAAGGGTGAAAAAATTGTGAATTTATTTGTGAAATATTGTACATTAGGTGCATGTATTCAGGTAATTCAAAAAAGTTGTCCTTTGCAACTCTAAACCTTAAACTCTAAGCGCGCAAAGCTTAATGGGAGCACAAGTTTCATGCTTAGTAGTTGAATATTGCAGCTAATTGTGAATGAATTGTTTTCGTAAGGAGATATTTACCATGTCTCTCAGCCTCGTACCCAGGCGCAAATAACGTACTAAAAATTAGCAACACTACAGTGTTTTTATATAGATCAGTGCAAGTCCTCCCCAAGCACCCCCGCGCGCTCGCTCAGCCACTGATCTATATAAAAAACTGTAGTGTTGCTGTTTTTTAGTACGTTATTTGCGCCTGGGTACGAGGCTGCATGTCTCTAAGAAATGGGCCCCATATATGTCTCTAAGAAATGGCCCAGCGGGCAAAATGACGTTTATCCAACGTTGAATCAACGTTGGAAATGACCTTCCAGACGTTGGATAGACGTTCAAAAAGGGTTGACTATGCAAATTGGATCGACGTTACTGTTTCGACGTTGAAACAGCGTTGAAATTAGGTTGCGAATCTCGTCAACCATAATTCAACGTTGAATCCACGTTAAAACAACGTTGAGATTGGTTCACAAATCGACGTCGTACATTTAACCATGAATTCAACGTCTGTTGGCTGCTGTTGAACCAATGTTTGTAAAACAACGTCAGAGCAACGTAGATATTAGGTTGTCGACGTCGCAACCTTTTTTCTGCCAAATTTCAACGTTGAAACAACGTCGTGTGCCTGATTAAATGATGCTCCCATTATGCTTTGCACGTTTAGAGTTTAAGGTTTTCAAAGGTAACCTTTTTTGAATTAGCTGTCTAATGTGTGTGCTTTTTTGTGGGGTTTTTTTGCGTCAATCCACTGGAGAAGTACCCCCCC